AATTTGCTGTTACTAAGTGGCCACAATAGAGTGTGGCCTGCTCCTGATGCTTTTAAATGCTCTTAGAAGTCATTAGAGCAGAGTTTGAAAAAATTATGTAAACAAGATTAGCTTCTGAAACTGAAGTATAAGGTCTTGAACTTGCAATCCCTGCAGCTCTACGGTACTACTTATGTGGTAGGCATTGAGTAAATATTTGGTGAGGAAAAGCCTACGGTTATCACTGGGTGACTTAGAGTCCCCACCAAGCAGACCCTAAGACAAGGGTTCACAAAGAGACAGCCGGTTTGGGAGGTACTCACAGGAAACATGGGTAGGTGAGTGGGAGAAGGGAGGCAGGAGAGAGAGTGAGCCAGTAATGCATTCCTTGTTAAGTAAGGCCCCACTGTAGGCAATGGAGCTGACTCCTACTGGGAACCTCTGGGAAATAAAGCAGACCACATGCCTCAGAGTTATACTGTCTGAGGAGAAAGGAAGCTGAGGTATTTATCCACCAGCTCCTGCCAGTCATTGATGGAGTTGCTGCTTGTATTATGAATTTTGAAACTTCATATTTTCTGGCTGCCCCAACATCCCCACAAACAGGCTGTGACACCTGCCCAGGCAACCAGGTGCACCAGTGTGATAAGGTCAGGCCCTGCCACAGGTTCCCCTTCCGAGCCTGCCCTGACTGTGACCTAGTAACGTTAAGCGCACTAATGAAATCGCACTTTTCCTTGTGTTCTCTACCCTGGTCCCTGATACAGACATTGCCCGGGCCTTTCCTCCCTCTCCGCTCACCACCTGTTTGGTGGAGCTTACACCCTTGGTGCTCCCTCCCACATGACCCCCTCCTGTCATGCAGTGACTCAGTCTCTTTAGGAACTGTGAGTAGAATAAATGACATTTTCCTGTGTCTCTCCTGTGTCCCCTCTTGTGGCCACACTGACTGACCATCACCTGAAAAAAATACAGATCATTGACCTCCTGGGATAATTCCTTAGCACTTCTGGCCTGCTCCATGAGCATGCTCGTGTGGCCAAAAGGATCTCGCAGGCAAAGACCCACAGGTGCTGTCCATGGGATATGGGGCTGACGTGCTCAGCATGACACATGCCCAGGGGATATGATGTGAGACCTGCTAGTGGCTGCTGCAGGAGCACACTGGAAGGGAGGTGGGAAGTGGCAGTCAGGCAAGCAGGTGCCTCAGCGCTTTGGCCTAGAAGAATATGAATCACAGTAGCTCAGGGACACCAGAACCGAGAGAGTGACTTAGCCCAAACCCCACTGAGTTGGGGTTGTGTGAGGACACGTTGCAGAGACTCCTTAAATACTCTCTGTCTCAGGTATGATTGGCTGGGAAGTTCTGGAAGTTCTAGACTTGGAAACTGTGGAAGGCAAAGTAACAAAAAAAAAAAGGTGCTGGCTAATGAAACATCCATAATTTAAAAAGGTAGCAGTACAACAAAAGAATATGGTATATCAGAGCAAAACAAATACAATCCACGAGTAACCTGAAATTCTCCTTCTAAAATTCCATCCTGGGAAAATATTACTAAATACAGATAAGGATTTATACACAAAAATATTCTACACAGAATTATTTATAATAGCAACGCATTAAAGACAGTAAAGGGCCCAATGACAGGGGCTGGTTAAGTCAATCTTGGTTCAGTGTAATGTTTTGCAACCATTTCAATGATGCTTATAAAGGATTTTTAACAACACAGCAAAGTGCTTGTGATATATTTAGTGAAAGCAGCAGAATTAAATTCCATGTACAATATGATTTTGACTAAGGCATAGAAAAAAGACTGGAAGGAAATAGGTCAAAATGTTTACACTGGTCATCTCTGATTAAGAAAAGAAGTAAAATTGGTGGGGGTCCATAATAAAAAAAATGAGGAAGTAACCTGCTAAGAATGACTTCTTATCAAAGAATTTCAGGAATCCTAAGACTCTCATTCCAGACCCCCTTGACCCAAGCCTCATTGCAGATTGATTTCTGCGGCTGGGTCATGTTGGGGTGTCCTGGGCACACGTGGAGTGTGGCAGGAAGGTGTAAACATTGGCACTCTGTCTTTACTGGACCTTCTTAGGCAGCAGAAATAAAACATCAAAAATGCTGGCAAGTAAGTTACAACAGAAATTTAATGCTAATTTTTATTGTCTGTAATAAAAGTAGAATTTATAGACTTTCTTTTGGTCTACTGGGTCATCTGCTTCTTTATGTCAATACTGGTTGCCGAAAGGATGTTTAACAAATGAATGAAACCCAATAATGTTTTTGAAAAAGCAATCTGCTTGTAGGAAAATCCAAACACAAAAGTGTAAGTAAAAAATTACAGTCTCTTCTTCTCCCATCTGCTCTCCTCTCCACGTCCTTATGTATCTATTTAAGTAACTCTGGAGTTTAAATTCCTTTATTTCAATTCCTACAATTCAGAGGAGGGAAAAGCCACTTTGGACTAGAACAGTGAGGGAAGTGTGGGACAGTGGTTCTCAACTGGGGGTGCTTTTGTTCCCAGGGGACATTTGGCAATGTTTGGAGACACTACGGGTTGTAACAACTTGGGGAGAGGGTGCTACTGGCATGTAGTGGGTAGAGGCCAGGGATTCTGCTCAACGTCCTACAGTGTACAGGACAGCCCCCAGCCCCAATGTCAGCAGTACCAAGATTGAGAAACCTTGACATAGCATTTAGAATTTGGCCAGAGACTTGAAAGCTGAGAAGGACTTGGCTAGGCCAAGGAACTGGTGAGGGTAGAGTATGTGGTGGTCATTTCAGGAAGGTGGGCTGCTCAAAGGCAAGTCCAAGATGAGAAGCAATGACCAGGCAGGGAAGAGTGACTCTGGAGCTCAGGTGCAGCTGCTGGCCCTAAAAACATGTAGCACTCGTTCCTAAGTGTTGTGGCTAAATGTTGACTTTCAATACAGGACAACAGCAAGAGCCACCTGCATGCCTAGAAAGTTCCAGATTATCTGTTAAAAGGAAGTTCCATGATTCATTGATAGTAATGAGTATTCAAATGAATAACAAGTCACACAGACTCAAATGGCAAGAAGAGCAAGCCAAGCCACAAGACATGACCTTAAATTTGCTCTAAGTTTACCGCCTGGGGTAAAACAGTACCATAGATTGCAAACATAACCTGGTTTGGAGTAAACTGATTCCAATTTTGCATTTTTGTTTTTAGTATTCTTTTATTTATATATTTTTGGTGGCTGGTAGAGGGATCAAACCCTAACCAGCCAGCTCTTGACTTTGCACTTCTAATAGGTTATAACGTGGAGAGAGATAATTCAGGAAAGGCAATGTAAACTTGAAGTTTCCCCAGGAATTTACAGTTGTTCAATCGCTTGCTTATCATAGACATTTATATTGGCTATACCAAAATTTATTTGTCCACTGCAAACAAATTAAGAAGTGTGGATAGATTTGTAGTAAGTGAGAATGACAGTTTGGTTAACTGAAGCATTCTAAAAACAGCCCAGCTGTACTTTATATGGAAGCACATGGAAGGAATCGAGGAGTCACGAGATGGCAGAGTGGGAAGGCCCTCGAATGTGATGCCATCTCACCCTCTCCTTATATAGATGAGGAAACTGGGGTTCTGAGCAGCTGGGGGAATCACCTATCACACTGCTGGAAACTAGATCTCAAATCTTGGTTCTCTTAACGTCCTGGGGCCTCCTTAGTTTTCAAATTTAATTGTGTATGTATAAGTTCTGTCAAAGAGAAGGGACTAAAACGTAACAGTCAATATTAAACTGAGCCTTTAATATACCTGGTTATGTCCTGGCTGGCATGATTTGTTGTCTTGGTTAGTTCTATTTGTGGTCTTATCGGAATCCTAAACACACATTTTTTTCCTGAGTAAGATGCCTAGCCCACAGCACTCAGGAGGAAAATTCTGGGACAGGGAGATGAAGAGTTTGGTCAAAAGATGGAGATTGGCAAATACCAGAGCCTTTTAATTGATGTAAGAATGCTCCAACTCTACAGGGAAGAAAATAGAAGCTTAAGCAGATTGGAATCTTTGCTGCTCCATATGAAGGCCAGACAAAGTACTAACAGTAATCATTTGGGGAAAAATCTGAAGAAATTTGCCTTGGTACATTTTAAGCTCAACTGACAATGTGTGAAATTCACAAGGAGTGGCAAGTCTATAGAAATTCAAAGTAAATTAGTGGTTGCCTGGGTCTGAGGGTGGGAATGGGGATTAACTGTAAATGAAACAAGGGATCTTATTGCAGTGATGAAAATGTTCTCAAACTGGATTGTGCCGATGGTTGCATACTGCACTAAATTTCATAAAGACCCATTGAATTGTACACTTAGAATGGATAAATTTTATGGTATGAAAATTATACTATGATAATGTTGTTTTAAAAAAATCATGGGGACTTAAGGCAGTACCAATTTAATCACTTTTCACCCTTCTAACCAAGTTGGCTGAAATCAAATTCTGACAGCCATATTTCCTCCAATATCTACCTTTTAAGCAAGCTTTACTAAAATATCCAGTTCACTACCAAATTATTTAGGGGGACGGATTAGATAACAATTGTGGGGACTGGCCAGTAGAGTGTGATGCTGATAACACTAAGGTCAAGGGTTTGGATCCCCTTACTGGTCAGCCACCAAAAAATTTAAAAAATTTAAAAAATAAATAACAATTGTGCTTCAACATCCTACCATTAGATGTTCCTATGAGACTTGTGATTCTTAAGCTGGAAACTATGAGAAAGTCTTGAATTTTATGTTATTTCCAGAGGTGAGAGTCTCAAAGAACTGAATAGTTGATTTCCTTATTTAGGAAGTGCATTACTGTACTTTCTTTTCTCTCCAACAAATGGTTTTACTAACATGGAGTACAAAGTACTAATAATCAAGATTTAAAAACTTGTATTATGAGTGCATATATCTTTCTCTGCTATTACTCATTGTCATAGTTTTACTGGCGTGGGCAGAGGAGGCTGGAAGTCTGAGATGGCACTTTTACTCACGGAATACTTACAGGGTAAGGCTGAATGACAGTGAGCAGTATCGATTCTTTGCAGCTTCTGTAAAAGAGAAAAACAAACATATTTACATAATGCAGGGAGCCCGGACTCTAACCAGTGACAGTTTTCTTTTGAAACAAAATGTGTGACGCCATGGCAAATGTTCCTTGGGCTCCCAGGGCAGAGTAAACCGAATAGCTCAGAAGTAGGCTTTCAGACCACAGAAAAGACCCAAATCAAGTTTTCCCCATATAACAAACAGCCCAATTAAAAGCTTCCTAGGTGGTTTACATTGGGTGATATTCTCTGTGCTGCCAAACAGCAGAGCCCTAAAATAAAACTTGGTGGAGGAAGAACGGTTTTAGAAGCATCAACTCAATCAGTCTGTACGCTTTTAACTGCTCTCAAAGTTGATTCTCCCTTTCTGATTTTCCTTTAGCCCACTTTTATTTGCTGTTTAAAAATTTCTCTGTAGTTTTCTCTGGGAAGGCATTTTAAAAAATTCTATCAGCTCATGGGACATCATTATCTTCTCAGGGTTGGCATCAAAGAAAAAATGTCATTGTAGGTTTCATATATAAAAACAGCATCTCAGCAAACATCCCATACTGTGTGGCTTAGTAAAATCTATGGTAACAATGCCCGGGCTGATAAATATTTCAGACAGGCACCAATTGGGAAATATTGTTCACAATGGGAAGCACTTCACAGTTAAAAGCAGAACAATGTAACATAATGGTTTATTTAATTTCCTCCAAGTAACCCAAACCTTTCAAATGACTCAAATCTTTGAGGAAAAATCATATTATGGGTTATAATAGTTTTTCTTCCTTCCTTCCTTTGTTCCTTTTTTATCATGAGTAGGAGAAAGGTCAGTCGTCATTTGGTTGAGAAGGAGCTGACTTTTTCTACATTAGGTTGTAATTAATTACCTGCTTTTGCAAGAAGTGAGGTAAAGGGGATCTGTTGCAAAGCTGTTCCCTTGAAGAAGCCACTGCAAATCACGTTTCTAGCACTAACCGATTTGTGGCTTGGCCCACTCACTCTGGCTGAGCTGGACCAGGTGCTACTGGCTTCTCACAGGTGGGAAGGGAGGGAGCGGGGTGGGGGAGGAAAGCAGACACAGGACAAAATATGCAGAAAGCAACACAAACAGAAGCAAAGCACTGCTTTTGCTCAAGTTTCCCTCATTCACAGGAAACAAGAAATATCCAGCAGTTAAGAAATGTAAGATAGCACAGGACCAAAGAATTTGTGAGTGTGGCAGCCATGTCAGTGGATTTGTCTGCCCTGCCTGTCCTGTTCTTCCCGAGACCCCTCCCAGAGCCTTCAAAAGCAAGCAATGGGCCCCGGGAACTCATCCTCTGGGCCCAGCTGATCAAGTGTTGGAATAAACTGATCTGATTTCCTCTCTCCAGAATTGGAACTAAGAGACACAGGCTAAGAGAGTTGGGAGCCAAGTCACATTCATGGCTGAATACCAGAGTAAAGGTTACAGATGCCAGTCATCCCCTGAACACTCCTGGTTCCCGCCATTCCTGAGGGCTGGTTGTTCACCATTCTGTTAGAAATAAAATAATTGATGTAAAAAATATCTCAGTATGATATCTATCGTCATTCTGGGAAAGAGCTTTTACTTCTGTTTTCTCTCATCTCTAAGTACTTAACCATCACCTGCTAGTCAAGAAGAATGAACTTCATAGTGCTTCAGATCCCTTAGGATCTCTAACTCAATCCTTGGAGGAAAAAGAGATCATAGCCATATGTGTTCATATGTTACAGGATGCTAAGATGTATTCAGACGGTGTCAGTTGAGGCCCCATGTCAGTAGATGCCAATCACCCCCACATGCCAAAGAAGGATGCTACAGGACTTTCAAAGGAGGCATTGAAAACCAGAGTTTGGAACCCTTAATTAATCCCTTACTCACCTCGGGGTCTGACTCATGACTTAATTAGAAACTGAAAATAGGCAAGAGGGTGGTGGAAGCATAGGTGCCAATGGCAGAGGCTACATTTGTGAAGTTACTACCCTCCCACTGAGGCAGGCCCAAAGTGCGCCATTCCTAGGGATGAGATGTGAAACATGCAGTAGAAATGTTAGCCTGGGATCATTTCATGAAGGCCTCCTGATGAACTGAGTTTCTTCCACGGGTGAGAGGGCCATATGGAAAGATGTAGAAGCCAAGGAGCATTGAGCATAACCAGCCCTGGGGTTCTGCCAGACTCAAGGGGGGCTACAACTGGAGCAACCCAACAGAGAAATCTTCCAGGAATCCACAAAAGCACACAGGGAGAGTCAACTTTCATTATCTTCCATGGATAGAGAAACCCAATGCTGGGTTACAGTGGCATCAATCAAGTGAGAACTATGCTGCTTTTTACCTCACTACCCTGGTTCCATTTCAATCTGGAAGAACTAAAGCAAGAGAAGAATGTTGGGAAAATAAAGAAAATATTGACAATGCCCCTTAACCCACTGAAGGGCAAAGTTTTGTGACACTGGGAGTTTTGACTATTACATGACAATTTGAAGTTTTAATTACAGATTACGAACTGTAGTGATTACAAGTGTGCGAGTGGCTGAAGAATTTTTCTGAACCTGTCTGTACATTTACGGGACCTGCCTGAGATTCTGTTGAAGGGTAGGGAAGAGCTGGCCCTGGGGAGATGTTAGAAATGGGCAATGGGAGAAAAGAACACAGTTGCTTCCGACTGTACCCTCTGAGACCTGCTTGCTATATTTATTCCTGATTTCTTCTTACTTAATTAAGTTGACTTAGATAGATCATATTCTTTGAGTCCAAGCAATTCTTGACTAAGACAGTGAGGTTTACAACCCTAAGAAGAAACAATAAAAAGGTAAACACAAGAATGAGGGATAAGTGTTGCAGCAAAAACAGGAGGTGGTGGGGTGAGCAAGGGAATGGATGGGCCCATAAGGCTGTGGAGCAATGCTCAGTGGCACCATATTTAACTGTTAACTTCTGGAAAGGGAAGCTGATATTCACAGCTGCAGTGCAGCAGCTCTCAGGAGCAGACACGTCCCTGGAGAAGGACTCTTGCTATTCATCTTAGATACTAATAAGCATAGACACTGTATTAGCTTCCTATTGCTACTATAACAAATTACCATGAACAGTGGCTTAAAAATGCAAATTTACTATTTTACATTTCTAGAGGTCAGAAGTCTGAAATAGGTTTTGCTGGGCTAAAATCAAAGTGTTGGCAGGGCTACATACATTCTGAAGCCTCTTGAACATTTAAAGGCTGCCTGTATTCCTTGGCTTGTGGCCCCATCTTCCATCTTCAAAACCAGTAGTATAGCATCTTCAAATCTCTCCCTGATTCTCCTGCCTTCTTCTATCACTTCTAAGGACCCTTATGATTACATTGGATCCACCTGGATAATTCAGGCTAATCACCCCATCCTTAACTAAATCACATCTGCTGAGTCACAGACTCTGGAGATTAGACAGAAGACATCTTAGGCCAGTCATTATTCCACCTACCACAGATGCTAGTTTTATTAGTTATCTATTGCTGCATAACAAATTACCACAAACTTAGCAGCTTAAAACAACACCCATTTATTATCTCACTTTATGTGGGTCAGAAATATGAGCATAGCTTAGCTTGGTCATCTTCTTCAAGTTCTCTAATGAGGCTGCAATCAAAGTGTTGGCCAGGGCTGGGGTCTCATCTGAGAGCTAGGTTGGAAAGGATCTACTTCCCAGCTCACTTCAGTGGTTTTTGGCAGGATGAAATTCCTCTTTAGGTTGTTGGATCAAGGGCCTCGGCTCCTTATAGATAGTTGACCTGAGACCACCTTCAGTTTCTTGCCATGTGGGTCTCCCAACATGGCAACTTGCTTCATCAAAGCCAGAAAGGGAGAGAGTCTGGGGGCATGATGGAAGTTATAATCTTAGGTAACATAATCATGGAAGTGATATTCCATCACCTTTGTCATATTCTATTAATTAGAAGCAAGTCACAGCCTGCGCATACTAAAAGAGAGGGGAATACACAAAGCTATAAATACACAGAGGCAGGGATCATTGGAGTCCATCTTATAATTCTGTCTGCCACACTAAAAAGGAGAGACTATAAGTATCTCAAAAATAATTTCCACCCATGACTTCACCTTGCACAGAATTTTTTTCTGTCAAGAATTTCAAGGAGATGCATTGCTAAGCACACCTTGTTAATTTGGAAATGGGAACCATTTTTCAAAATATGTCTACTATATTTAAAGACTTTGTGTCTAATAGTAATGCTCTGTAAATTGCCTGAAACAACCTAGATTGACTTTAATTTTATAGTTTAATGAATAAATTTATCTGAATTGAAATAAAATATTCCAATATGTTATTTATCATTAGGACTGGGAACATGTTTCCTCATCTGTGATTATTTAATTATAACCTGCCAGACAAGAAACATTAACTTCATAATGTTTTGGATTCCTCAGAATTCCTAACCATAAGATTCTAGGAGGACAGAAATAAAGATCTAAGCCGTTTATAAATAGCCTGAACACAAATATTAGAATCAGGAATGGAGGCTACCACCTTCAAGCAATCAGATAACTTTTTAAAATGAAGGCCTAAAACAGCTAGAGTCCTTTAAAAATCCAGTTAGAAGCACATTTAGAGAAGTATTATTTCATAATAAATTCCACATGAATTTTCTGCTTTTGAAGAGTAATTTCAAATTGCAGTGTCAATATTTTATTTATTTTTTTGAAATGTAATTGATTAAACATATTTGTGGGGTACAGAGGTGAAAATCGATACCTGTGTACAATGTGTGATGATCAAATCAGGATAATTAGCACATTCATCATTATAAAACCTAATCATTTCTTTGTGTTGAGGACATTCAATCTCCTCTCTTCTAGTCATTTGATAACATGCAGTGAATTAATGCTAATTATAGATGCCCTAGCTCAACTGTACATCAATAGAACTTATTTTTCCTAATTAACTGTTTTGTGTCCACTGACCAGTTTGTCGCTATCCCTATCCTGCTCCCCCTTCCCCACCTCTAATAACCACAATT